CCCCGCGCCGCGGGCCATGGGGGCCCTGACGAGCCGGCAGCACGCGGGCGTGGAGGAGGTGGACATCCCGTCCAATTCCGTGTACCGCTACCCGCCCAAGTCCGGTGAGGGCCGGCAGGCGCCGCGGCGGGAGGAGGGGAGGGGAAAAAGTGGGGCCCCGGGCCGGGATGCTCTAGAGCCAGGGCGCCGCAGGTCCTCGGAGACCCGGTGTCCGCGGTCGCTCCGACGCGATCTTCCGGCGTAGGGGGCTCTTCACGGAGCCCGAGGTCTCCCCTCGCCTGGGCGAGTTAGCCGCGGGGGCTGCTTTATGTCCCTGGCGGGGTCACCGAGGTCACCGAGCCCCTCCACTCGAGGACGTGAGCAGCCTCCATTGTAATCTGCCCCGTGACAGGGACGTGTGCCTGGTGGGGATTGCGGCTGCCGGCGTCGTAGGTGAGGTCGGCACCCCGCGCAGACCGGCCCGGCGGCCGCAGAGCCCACTTCTTGCAGGGGCTGAGAGCTTAGGGGAGGCAGTCTGGCCGTGCCAGGTGCTGTAGCTGGGCGGCTGCGTCCTGGACTCCGGAAAGGTTCGAATTAGCTTTCTTTTGGAAAATCTTTCATTGCCTGCTGGAGGATGGAGGCTGAACATGCATTTGCGGTGTTGGTGCGTTTCCAGAGACTGTCGGAAGGGGGAAAAAGAGTTTTAATAGACATGTTTGGGAATCCTGATTTTCAGTGTCACTCGGATCGTCCCTTTGCCAGAGTAGCAGCAAGCCTGGTCTGGGGCATGGGGGTGGCTCTGGGACAGGGCAGAGGTCTTTAAAAATGTGCAGAAGTATTCTGTTTTCAGAATCATCCCTTCACTTACAAAGATTTCCAGCCTCCGGGTTGGGGCATCAGCTCTGGAGCTGGAGGATTTTGACAGCGAAGGAGAATCGCTAGAAGGTGGCTCAGTTGACTGAGCACCAGGCACTTTGAGCTGCTCGGGCATGACCTAGCTATACGGCTCTTTATTTTTAATTGTCATTCTCAACCCCTCTGGGCACTGGTGGCTACCATTTCCCCTTTGGCTTAGGGCTTGATGGGGATTTTGGTGCTCTTGGCGTGAGCTGTGGGGATTGGCATGGAGCCAATTCTTTTTGGTAGAATAAAGACATCTAATGAGATGAGCTGGTTTCTCAGCGGTGTGCCCCATTCCTGCCAGGTGAAAGCAGGGGCCAGACAATGAGCCTGCATCCCTGCAGAGCGACTGCCAGAGCTGTGTTTCTCTGCCAGAGCTGTGTTTCTCGCTGCTTTTGTGCCAAAGAATGAATCCTTGCGGAGATGAATATGATTAAGAGCTGTTTTAGAAAGGTCTGAAATAAAGTGCTGTGGAGTATGAGTGTTTTAATAAAGCTCTAGCTAATTATGATATGAAAACGGTGCTAAGGAAGTCATGCATTTTGTTTTAAATCCACAAAAATAGGCAGCAGTATTTGAGTTTTTTTTCTTCTCTTAAATCACTTGGCTTTTATTGATCAGAATATGGAGCATGTTTTGCTGAGCTTAGAGTTCTCACTAGTGTGCTCTCTCAGGGGAGTATTAACTCCTCCTTCATGTATGGGAAGCAATGTAGGTAAATCTCTGGTAGGCTATTTTCCGCAGGTTTAAATGGCTACAGGACTGAATCTGGGATGATTAAAAAGATGGTGGACCAAACTAAAGCTTTTCTTCTCTTTTCTTTTATTTGGGGGGGAGAGGTTTTTGCTATAGGGTGCGCTTACTCGCCAAAGAGACAGAGAGAAGCAGAGAGACAGAAAGCGAGAAATCACCCCCCAGGGGGATGGCCACGCGGCAATCCCTTCTCCTCCATTCTCTTCTTGGGATCTTGGGCACGCACACACACGCGCCTGTCGTGAGTTTAAGCCACTGGGTCCGGGACTCAAACTGCGGTTGACTACATGGGAGTTCAGCAACATAGCCATTATACCAACTGCTGGTCCCTAAAGCTTTTCTTAACTAACATCCTTACAGTTTCAAATACTCCTCTATATTCTAAAAAATTTTTTAAAGTTTTATCTAATTATAACTCATTCTAATCAGAAGTTATACATGAAAGAAACTCGTACAGCAGGTGGACCAAATTATTTATGTGGAAGGTAAAACACAGAAATTAGTAGTGGAAACACCCACATCCCAGCTACAAACTTGTGTGTATATGAATACTTGTATGATCTTGCATGACTGCTCCAGACTAGAGGGCACCTCCCCATTTCCACTGGTCTTGACACTGACTGGCTCTTTGTAGATTATAGTAATTCAGTCCTGTAAGGAACCTTCGAGGGAATTTAATTCAGAACCACTCATTTCACTGGTAAGAAAATGGAGACTCACTATCCCATCTGCCTCTGCCTTTCCCAAGGAGATTGGATTTTGAATTTACACTTGATTTGTGGAATGGAGTCTATTCCGTGTCAAAACTCAGAGGCCTGTCTCTGCTGAGGCATCAGCCTGTGTTGTTTTTGTGTTTGTTTGTTTCTTAGGCTTTGGCCATAGGGTGTGTGCACTGTTAGAGAGTGACAGAGAGAGAGGGAAAGTGAGAAATTAGCCCTGGGGTTATGACCACACCATAATCCCTTCTCCTCTTGAAATTTAGGACATGCACACAGATGCGCCTGGTGTGACTTTCCAGCTGCTGGGCCTGGGACTCGAGCTGTGGTCTACCATGTGGAAGTCCAGTGTCTTCACCACCATTTGTTGGGCCCCAGCTGGGTTGATTCTGAAAAGTCTCCATATCCTGAATACTGAGAGTGGAACAAAGTAATTAGCAAAGTCAGCTCTCTTCAGGTGACTGAGGGAGCATGTCTGTAGTCTAGGTGCTTAACTGAGACCACCCTCTGGCACTAGAAAGTCAGTCTAAAGCCTACTGCCTCTGGAGCAATTCTTGCAGAAACAGCACTGCCATCTGTCCCTGCAATGGTGGTCATAGAATCCAAAGGCGACTGCTCTTCTTATTTGGCAGTGTGTGTGCGTGTGTGTGTGTGTGTGTCTTGTTTGTTTTGCAAGATGACACGTGCACTTGCCAGACAGGTGGCAAGATGGAGAGATGGAGAGGAGAAAATGTCCCCCTTGGGGAATGGTCACAGCAGTCCCTTCTCCATTTCTCCCTCCTTTTGAGATTTTGGACATACACATATCTGTCTGGCGTGTTTCTTAAGTTGCCAGGTCCAGGATTTGAACCACTTGGTTGGCCATGTGGGATCTGGCTGCCTTAACCACCAGGCCACAGAACCGGCCTAGTGGTGTTTCCCAGAGGGTGCATACATTTGCTGGGGAGAGACAGAGACACAGAGAGAGAGAGAGAGCATCCCCTGTGGGGCACGGTCACACTGCAGTCCCTTCTCTTTCATCTCTCCCTCTTGCTGGGATTTTGGGTACACATGCACATATCCCTAGCATGTTTCTCAAGCCGTAGGGGTCTGGGTTTTGGACTGCAAGGTTGGCCATGTGGGATCCAGCTCACTCAACCACCAGGCCACAGCTGGTCCCTGGTGTTTTGCTTTTTAAAGATGACTTGGCTATGTTGTGATCTTCCTGCCTCAACCTACTGGGTGCCTGGGACTGCAGATGCATACCACCGCATCCAGCTTTTTAGAGTGGGCCAGGAACTACACCCAGCCCTCCCTGTGAACCCAGTCTGCCCAGCAGCAGCATCCAGCATGCCCTACCACAGCTGGGCCCTATGTGGCATTCTTAGAAGAACTTCTCAGTTTTTATGCAAATTGAACTTGAAACATTTACAATTCAGAATAGCTGATTTCATGTTGGATTTTCATGTTGGTTTTAGCTTTTTTCCTTTTAAAATAGAGGTAGCTAGAAATAAAATAGCTCAGATTATTTAGAATTATTTGCTTTTATTAGTAGTATATGAGGGACTTCAAAAAGTTTGTGCAAAAAATGGAATTAAAGTATGCACTAATTTTGGTGCACAAATTTCAAAATCCTTGCATAATTTTTTCATAATATGCATTTTATATGAGCTTTTTGAAGACCCCTGCAAATCACATGGCTCAAAGTTTAAAAGAATGAAAAGACTTTCAGTGAAATCTTGTTCTCCCTGCTGTTGCCCATCCATCCAGTTCCTCTTCCTCTCCATAAACCTCCCATCGCTATATAATCGCTTTGATAGCTTTAGAATTCTTCCAGAGTTTCTTGTTTGAATGCAAGCATGACATGCTATTTAGACTGCTGTAAGTCTTATTCTTTCCACTTTCAGAGTTATTGGAGACCTTATTATAGCTCTCTCTCAGAGGGGCATGTGCACTTGCCGGACAGAGAGAGAACGCCCCAGTGGGCATAGGTATCTCTGTATTTGAGAGTTTCTTTTCTTTTCTTTTTAAAAATAATTTTTTTATTTAACTTTATTCATTTGTTTTTTAATTTTAAGTTGACCAGAGAGGGACAGAATGTGTGCGTGTGAGAGAGAGAGTGAGAGGGAAAGTGAGAAAGCAAGCTACCAGGTCTGGGAGTTGAACCATGGTCAACCATGCAGGAGTCCAGCACCCTTAACCACCATGCCACCTGCCAGCCCCAAGAGTTTCTTTTCTTTTTAATGATGGCATAAGATTCTTTTGTATACATGTTCTGCCTTTTCTTTTTTTCCTTTCTTTTTTAGGTTTTAGCCATAGCGCATGTGGGATCCCTGGAGAGAATCAGAGAGAGAAAGATAGGGAAATCACCCCTTGGGAAGATGGCCATGCCACAATCCCTTCTCCTCCATTCTCCTCTCAGGATTTTGGGCACGCATATACATATGCCCAGTGTGATTTTCAAGCTGCCAGGTCCAGGACTCGAACCACAGTCGACCATGTGATAGTCCAGTGTCTACTTCCTGGTCCACTACTATTGGTTTTTAATCATCAGAGAGCATCTGTGCTCACCAGAGAGAAAAAAAGCACCCCTTGGTGGCATGTGGTCACATCACAATCCCTTTTCTTTATTTCTTGTCAAAATTTTGGGCACATGTGCCCTGTGTGTTTTTCACTGGGTTCAGACTATGGGCAACCATGTGGGATTTGCCTCTCTACACACAGTCCTTAACCGCTATGCCACAGGGCCAGTCCTATACTAACATTTTTTACACAAT